GGAGAGAGGGAAAGAGAGAGAGAGAAAGGGAGAGAGAGAGAGAGAAGAGAGAGAGAGAGAGAGAGAGAGAGAGAGAGAGAGAGAGAAGAGGAGAGAGAGAGAGAGAGAGAGAGAGAGATAACCTTTTCCAAAAAAAAAGGCTGAGAAAGAAGAAGGGATTCACCGTCCCAATCTGCTATTATCTCCATGGCCGTTCATTGAACAATTTATAAGGTGAAATTAACAAATTTGACGTGCCATTGACCCAATCACTCACCGTTCCCCTTCTGTAGCCTCAGTCTCCCCTCCTCTCCCCTCCCCCTCCTACCCCCCCCTTTTTTTTCCCCCCCTCCCCCAAACGCTACCCCTCGTTTTTTCCCCTCGTAATATCATAGTTCTTTCAGCAGGTTGAGTGAATGTTGCATCGGCTGACCTTGGGGTTGGCATTGACAGGCCCTCTAACCCACCCTTCTCTTCCTTTTGCTCCGCTTTATTTATTGCATTTTCTCTGTCTCCTTTTTTGTTTATGTTGCCATCTTACTGTTATTCTTACTCTTGTTTTCGTAAAAGTTGCTTCGTGTTATTATCCTATCCCCTCTTCCTTTTCTTCATTTCTATTCCTTTTCCTCCCCTCCTAGGCCTTCCTGATCCTCTTCCTCTCCTCCCCCTCCCACATTCCCTTCCTCCTCCTCACCTTTCCCCTCCTCTCTCCTCCTCCTCCTCCTCCTCTCATCTCCTATCTGTCTGCCTATCTTTCGCATCTCTCTACCTATCTATTTATCTTCTATTTGCTCTCCCTCCATTTCCTGTCTGTCTATCCTTTCTATCTCCTACTATCTCTTTCCTATTGGTTTCCCTCCTTTCCTATCTGTTCTATCTTCTATCTCTCTCCTATTATATTTATGCTTATTGTCTATCTTTTTTTTCTCTCTCCTATATATTTTTCCCTTTCCTATCTGTCTATCTTTCTATCTCTCTACCTATATATTTATCTTCCTTTCTATCTATCTATTTCCTATTCCTTCCTATCTTTCTTTCTATCTCTTTACCTATCTTTCTTCTATTGACCTCTCTCCCTTTCGCTGCTTCTCGCCTCCCGCCCTCGACCGCTGTCTGTGTGTTCCCTCCTTCCTGATTACCCTCACTTTCCATCAGTGTGAAGCAGGAAGCCGCCCCTCTTTGTGAGGAGTTCACGCCCCCAACGCCCCCACGCCCGTGCATATGCCCCTCCCTTCTCCCCCTCCCCCCTCTTCCTCCCCAGCTCTTCTCCCATCCCATCCCCTCCCCTTTCTCTCCCCCTTCTCTCCCTGTCTCCCTCCCTCCCCCTTTCTCATCCTTCCTCCCTCCCTCCCTCCTTCCTTCCTTTACAGTGCCTGTCCTTACTTGATAATCACTTTTTTTTCTCTCTCTCTCTCCTCTTCGTCGACAAGAGAACGCGTGTAATTGTTTTAGTTTCTTTCTTTCTTTCTTTTTCTTTTTTTAGGTTACTTTAGCTTTGCTTCTCAGTTCCGAACCCTCCTCCTCCTCCTCCCTCCTGGCCCCCCTCTCCTTCCTCCTTTAACCCCCCCCCCCCCCTCGTGTATGAAGGAGTTGTCGGTATTGTAAACGTAAATGTCAGTCAAGTTGACACCTTTCCGCCTTCGCCTCTCCCTCTCCTGCCCCTGCCTAGCCCCCTTCCCCTTCCCCTTCCTCCTTCCTCCCCCTTCCCTCCTTTCCCTTTTAAAGAGAGGTGAGGGAGAGGAAACAATGGTGCTCACCCTTACTCAAGTTCTTTGTTTTACCCTCTCGCCCCCCCCCTTTTTTTTGCGCTCCACCTGCCCTTTTCCCTCCCCCCATTCGTTCCCAGCCCCGCCCCTCCTCCCCCCCCACCCACCCCACTTCTCTCAGGTAGTCTTGGTGTCTTGGAACACAAGCGCAAGAATGCATTCACACCCCGCCCCCCTCCCCCCTCCCCTCCCCCTATCCTTGACCCCTACCCCCTGTCTCCTACTCTCCCCTTCCCTGTACCCCCCCTTTCCCCTGTCTCCCCCTCCCCCCTCCTCCCCCACCGTCCCCAGCTTATCTTTGTTCTGTCGCAATCCCCCTCCCTCCTCCTCCCCCTTTCTTTTTTTTCTTTCTTCTTTTATCATTTTCTGTCCTGTTCCCTTTTTTGTGCGTGTAGTCGGATGACGTAAGCAGATTCGCGTCATCGTCCTCGACCAATTAAAAATATTAATTAGAAAAAAAATGAAATTCAAGGTCCCCTCCTCCTCCACCTCCCCCCCTACTCTCCTACTTCCCCTCCTCCTCCCCCTTCTGCCCCTCCTCTTCCTCCTCCCCCTCCCCCTCCTTTTCAACTTCCTCCTCCTCCCTTTCCCCTCCCCTCCTCTCCTCCTCCTCCCTCCTCCTCCTCCCCCTCCCCCAACGTAAATATCGCTTATGTACGTGTGCACATTCTCCACGTGTGCATCTTAAATTCGCCTTCCTCTCTCTCTCTCTCTCTCTCCCCTTAATTAACGCCGGCGCCCTTTTCCGCAGAGCAGTTGTAGGATGAGGATGGCCGCTGTGGAAGTGGGCAAAACAACGGGGAGCCACGAGTGCGGAGGATGCGGGAAGCGAATAAACGACCGGTATCTGCTCAAGGCCGTGGACCTGTACTGGCACGAGGACTGCCTCAAGTGCGGCTGCTGCGACTGCCGTCTGGGCGAGGTCGGGTCCACGCTCTACAAGAAGGCCAACCTCCTGCTCTGCAAGAGGGACTACCTAAGGTAAGGAGGACGGTTTCAAGTGTTTTGTGTTTTTTTATCTCTGGTTTTCGTGTTTTTTTATATTGTTTTCAGGTGTTTTTTTTTTCTTTTGGAATCGCTGTTGGGTGGGGATTCGGTTTTGCGTGCGCTCGCAAGGTCACACGCAAGTGCTTGTGGCTTTGTGCGTGCGTGCGTGCGCGCTGCGTGAGATAGGCCTTTGGAAAAACGTTTCTGTGGAAATGGTGGCTGATTATGCAACAGTGACGCTCTTGTATGTGTTTGTCTTCTTAAAGTTTGTGTATTATTTGAGGAAATAGTTTTTTTTCTTCTTTTAGATTTGTCAAAAAACTTTTTTCGAAGTTGTGTTACTGTTTCGAAATTTCTGTCTTTCACCAATTACTTTAGAAGCAGTAAAAACATTCCTGTGAAAGTTGGCAATGGGGCAGGAGGGGGGGGAGTGGGGCTATATATGATATATGTATAGCTAGATAGATATACAGATAGATAGATAATAGTAGATAGGAAAGAATATGTATGGCTAGATAGATATACAGGTAGATAGATAATAGTAGATAGATAGGGAAGAGGTAGGTAGGTAAGTAGGTAGGAAGAAGATTGGCAACAGGTAGATATATAGAACATACACATGCATCCATACTTATACTATATATTAACGACAACAACAGAGCATCCACAGAGCTTGTCGTTCAAGAAACTCCATCCTTGATAGTGTCAGAAGGAAGACGACCTCGCCATCCCCCAAGACAAGAACCTGGGATGATTTAGGTGCATAGGGAGAAAGAGGTGTATGTAGATTATTGGAAACGTAGATAAGTGGGTGAAAATGACAGGTAGATTGATTGATTGGAAGAAAAGATGGATAGGAATAGGGAGGGAAATGAGGAGACTTAAGAGAGAGAGAGAGAGACGAGGAGTAAGGAGGAGGGAGAGAGAAAGAGGGGAGAGTTAGGAGATAGAGGTAATGAGTAAGAAGGAGAGAAGGAAAGAGGGGAGAGATAAAGGAAGAAAGGTACAGAGAGAGAGAGAGAGAGAGAGAGAGAGAGAGAGAGAGAGAGAGAGAGAGAGAGAGAGAGAGAGAGAGAGAGAGAGAGAGAGAGAGAGAGAGAGAGAGAGAGAGAGAGAGAGAAAGAGAGAGAGAGAGAGGGTGAGAGGTGGAAGGAAGATGTATTAATCATGACGAAAGACTTAAATTAGAATATAACAAGACGGGAAAAAAATCGTAGACAAAGCAGGGAACAGAAGGGATCGTGGAAAGAGGGGAGTAAAGGGAGAAAAGAGGGGAGATAGGAGAGGGCAAGAGGGGTCAGGGGTGGGGAGGGGGTAGGGGTGGGGTTTGTTGGAATGAGTAAAGAGCGAGAGAGAGACAGAGACAGATTTCAGAAAAGATAGACAGAGACAGAAAGATAGAGGAAACAGAGAGAGAGAGAAGAGAGAGAGAGAGAGAGAGAGAGAGAGAGAGAGAGAGAGAGAGAGAGAGAGAGAGAGAGAGAGAGAGAGAGAGAGAGAGAGAGAAATAACGAAAGAGGGGAGGATGGAGAGCGAAGAGGGTTTAGATGGAGGGAAGAGGGGGAAAGGGGAGGGGGGAGGGGGTGTTGTGCTCCCCTCGCGAGAAGAGTTAACCTCTCCTGGACGCGAGGATTACCTTAGTCTAGGAGGAGAGGAAGGGGAGAGGTTTAATTGACGAGAAGAGGGGAGATTAAGGAGGACGAGGGGAGAAGGTACGGCGGACGGAAGAGGGGGAAAGAGAGAAAGAGGGAGAGATGGAGAGAGGGAGGGAGAGGTGGGAAGGGAGGGGGAGGAAGAGATGGAGGGAGAGGTGGGGAAGGCAGGGAAGGGGAAGGAGAGAGGGGGAGCGGAGAGAAGCAAGTGATAGTGGTAGAAGTAGAGGAAAGAGAGAGAAATAGACAGGGAGTGAGAGGGGGGCGGGTAGAGATAGAGGGAAAGAGAGAGGGAGAGGGAGGAAAGAAAATGAGATAAACGAAAATAGTAAAAGAACGGGAGATATAAGTAGAAGAGTATCCCAGAAAGGACGAATGCCAAAAGTGGCAATTAAGAAAAAAATATAAGAGAAAATATATACATAACTAAGCTCAGAATAAATAAACAATGCTTAGGGAAAGGGCGATAATGAGAAGTGATGCAGAAAAGAAACGAGAAAGAGGGGAAGGAGGGAGAGGAAAAGAGGAGAGGGAGGAAAAGGGGAAGAGAAGAGAAGGGAGAGGGAAAAGAGGAGAGGGAGGAAGAGAGGGAAAAGAGGAGAGGGAGGAAGAGGAGAGGGAGGAAGAGGAGAAGGAGGGGAAGGGGAGAGGGAGGTAGAGGGAAAAGAGGAGAGGGAGGAAGAGGAAAAAGAGAAAAGATGAAGGGTAAGGGAAGAGATGAGGGAGGGAGAGGGAGAAGTTGCAGGTGTGAAGCGAGGTTGTGGGAGATGAGAAGCAAACATGACAGAGGAAGCTTAGCTGGAGAGTGGTCATGAGGGAGAGAGAGAGAGAGAGAGAGAGAGAGAGAGAGAGAGAGAGAGAGAGAGAGAGAGAGAGAGAGGGAGGGAGGGAGGAGGGAGGCAGAGAGAGAGACTAAAAGGCAGTGAAACACGTATACAATCTAGTTGATAGTTAGCGAGACCCCAGTATTTGAGATGTAAAGTTAACATTTGATACGTCTCTCTCCCCTCCCTCCTCCCTCTCCTCCCTCCCCTCCCTCCCCTCCCCTCTACTCCCTCCCTCCCTCCTCCCTCTCCATCCTTCCTCTTCCTCCCTCTCATCCCCTCCACTCATATCCCTCCTCTATCCTTCCCGCCTCCTCTATCCCTTCCTCTCTCTCCCTTCTCCTCCCTCTCACTTCCCTACCCTCCTCCCTTCTCCTCTCACGCACACGGACACGTACAGGGCGGTCATCCTCTGCCCTCGAGTCCAGGTCGAAACGGGACGAGAGAGAGCAAAGGGAATAATTAATAATGCGGATAATTAGAAGACCAAATAGCCGAGGGATCATCGTCATCCGCGTGGAGGCCTTGGTTCGGGAGGAGAAGGAGGGAGGAGAAGAAGAAGAGAGGAGAAGAAGGGGGATGAGGAGGAGGAGGAAGAAGGTGGATGAGGAGGAAGAAGAAGGTGGATGAAGGGTAAGAGGAGGAAGAGAAAGAAGGAAGAAGGAGAAGAAGGGAAGAAGAGAAGTGGATGAGGGGGGAGAAGAAGAAGATGAAAGAGAGGAAGAAAAGAGGGGGATGGAGGGGGGGAAGAGAAGAAGAAGAAGGAAAGGAAGAAGGAAGAAGAAGGTGATAAGGGGGAGGAAGAAAGGGGAGGGAAGAGGGGAAAAGAGGTAAAAGAAGAAGGTGGAGAAAGGAGGAAGAGAGAAGAAGAGAAGAAAGAAAAGGTATAAGAGAGAAAGGCAATAAAAAGAAAGAAAAAATGGTTCAAACAAGAATCAAACCAAGAAACAAAGACAAAGAGGCAGCAGGAAAAAAAAAAACAATAATAATAAGTGGGAGAGAATAAGAATAAGAAAGAAAAAAAAATGACGAAGACATGGTCACAGAGACGGGAAGAAAGAGAGTTTGCGCGAGAGTTTGAACAATGAAGGTAATTACCAAGGGATTGTGAGGGTCCAGCCCCCCCTCTCCCTCTCCCCCTCTCCCTTCCCTCCTGTCCCCCCTTTCCGCCCCCCTCTCTGCCCTCTTTCTCTTTTTTATTCCTCTTTCTTTCTCCCTTCTGTTCTCCTTGTCTCTCTCTTGTGCCTCTGTTGGATCTCTCCACTTTCTTCATTTCTTTCTTTCTTCGTTTCCCTTTTTTATCCATTTCACTCTCCCTGTTTCTCCTTTTCCTCTCTCTCTCTCCTCTCTCTCTCTCTCTCTCTCTCTCTCTCTCTCTCTCTCTCTCTCTCTCTCTCTCTCTCTCTCTCTCTCTCTCTCTCTCTCTCTCTCCTCTCTCTCTCTCTCTCTCTCTCCTCTCTCCCTCTCTCCCCTCCCTCTCCCTCCCTCCCTCTCTCTCTCTCCCTCCCTCCCTCCCTCCCTCCCTCCCTCCCTCTCCTCTTCTCTACTTCCTTCCCTTTTTTTCTCTCTCCCCTTCTCTCCCCTCGGCCATGAGATGGATGGGAAGGAGGAATAGCGATGATAAAGAGGAGGGAATGAGGTACGTGGCGTTGATGGTATATTGATGTGGCATGTTGAAGAAAGAGAGGAGGAGGAGGGAGGAGGTAAAGATGGAGGAGGAGGAAAGAGGATGGAGAGAAGAAAAGAAAAGGAAGAGGGGGAGGAGGTAAAGGTGGAGGAGGAAAGAGGAAGATAAAGAAGAGAAGAAGAAGAAAAGAAAAGGAGGAGGAGATAAAGATGGGGAGGAAGAATGAAGGAGGAGAAAATAGAGAAGAAAGAAAAAAAAGAAAAAATAGAGGGGAGGAAGAGGAAGAAGAGTAAAGGGAAATACAAGAAGAAGAAGAAGCAGAGTAAGAGAAAATAGGAAGAAAACGACGCAAAGAGAGCGAGGAGGGACGGGGAGGAGGAAGGGGGAGGAAGGGGGAGGCCTAACGAAGGATGAGGGCGGGTAATTAAGGCTTGTGATTGAACATTCAGCGTTGGTGTGGCCGGGAGGGGGAGGGGGTGGAGGAAGGGGCGAGGGGCCGGGGGTCGGAGAGGTGAGGGTGACGGTGGGGTGAGGGGGACGGGCTAGGGGACAAGAGGGGTAGGGATTGGGGGTGGGAGGTGAGGGAGTCGGGTGGGGGTGGTGGGGAGGTGAGGGAGGGGATGTGGTGAGGGTGATGGAGTAGGAAAGAGGGTGGGGGAGATTGTAAGGATGGTGAGAAGGGGAGAGAAAGGGAAGTGGAAAGGGAGGTGGGTAATGGGTAGGGAGAGAGAGAGAGAGAGAGAAGAGAGAGAGAGAGAGAGAGAGAGAGAGAGAGAGAAAGAGACTGAAGATGGATAGAAACAGATAGACAAGGACACAGACAGACAGAAAGAGAGAAAGAGGAAGGGGGACTGAGGGAGGTCAGAGTGACAGGGTGGGGGGGAGAGGGAA